AAAAAAAAAAAAAAAAAAAATGGAATGACCAGGTTGTTGGTGGATCCTGTTATATGTTTACTGAAATTGCTAAGAACAAAGACCAAAGCCTGCAGGACAGTCACCAGGACTGAGGGGAGGGGCAGGGCCCTCCCATGTGTCACCAGACCAGGAGTCTGAATTGGGTTAGCAGGAAGCCGGGAGGGGCCTGAGGTATTCAGACCACCTCTCCACCATGGAACCAGGTGGCCTAAGGAGTCTGGGGAAGGGCTGTAGGGCCAAAACCCAGGAGGGAGGCGCAAGAGGAGGTCAAGTTCAGACAGGAGGTGGGATGTGGAGGCAAGGGAGGGGAGGAAAGCAGGGAGAAAGGCAGGCACAGACCCCACTGCAGCCTCAACCCCACTGTGGGGTCAGCAAGGCCCTGTTCCACTTCCTGCTGGCCCCTGCTCCAGTGGCACTCTCAGGGCACCAACCACGATGCACTGATGACCAGATCAGAACCTGGCACCCACATGTCTGTCCTAAACCTCAGGGTTTCATGTGTGTTCCTGTCACTGCACCTCTCTCAGCTGCTCCAGCCAGTGTCAGTCACCCACCCCCTGCCACAGACCCCCCTGCAGCCCCTCCTCAAGGCCCTTCAGAGCCTCTCCCACCTGGATGTCCCAGGCCAGCTTGCAACAGCCTCCCTCTCTACCCTTCCTGCACCCTGCAGCCTGCTGAGCACACCCAGCTGCACCACTCTCCACTTACAGCTCAGCATTGGTTCCCCACTGCCCTCAAAGTCCAGACTCCAGCACGGCTTACAGAGCCGCACCTGCCACCTTTCCCACACCATTGTTCACCTACTCCTCCAGCAACCTGCACAGATACACAAGCAAGGCTCTGAGCCTGCTCAAATTAAATTAACAGCACTACTCTTCCAATGGAGAGACCCAGACATATGCTTTTCAAAACTACACTTAAAATAGGTTATAAAAGCTGAAAATAAATTACCAAGAAGTTATTTTTATGCTCCACAATACAGAATAAGAAATTTTACTGGACCTGGCCCACTCACTTTGTTCTAAATACTACAAGACTTGTCACAAAAACAGGGTATGTGGCTACAGAGAGTATGACAATCTAGAATTGTGAATAAAAACTCAATCATTAAATGGAGACTTGACTAATGTTGTTATAAAGTATTTTTCTTAAAGTATCTTACAATTTTAATTTTCTTAAGGTTTCATTTACATTTTTACCATTTAGAAGGTCAACCATTGAAAAAAATCACACAAACGTTTTCCTTATGTGCCTTAAACATCTTGCCAGGACAGAAAGCTTTTTCTACCTGCCAATGAAATCCTGGCCAACCTAGGCATGTATTTTCATTTGGCACTAAACCACAATTTTTTTTTTTTTATTGTACTGTTTATTGCTAGAATGGAAAATCTTTTTTTTTTTTTGAGAGGGCATCTCTCATATTTATTGATCAAATGGTTGTTAACAACAATAAAATTCAGTATAGGGGGGTCAATGCTCAATGTACAATCATTAATCCATCTCAAGCCTAATTCTCGTCAGTCTCCAATCTTCTGAAGCATAACGAACAAGTTCTTACATGGTGAACGAATTCTTACAGAGTGAATAAATTCTTACATGGTGAACAGTACAAGGGCATTCATCACAGAAACTTTCGGTTTTGATCATGCATTATGAACTATAAACAATCAGGTCAAATATGAATATTCGTTTGATTTTTATACTTGATTTATATGTGGATCCCACATTTCTCCCTTTATTATTATTATTATTTTTATTTTTAATAAAATGCTGAAGTGGTAGGTAGATGCAAGATAAAGGTAGAAAACATAGTTTAGTGTTGTAAGAGAGCAATTGTAGATGATCAGGTGTGTGCCTGTAGACTATGTGCTATTCCGAGCTAGACAAGCTAACCCACAATTTTATAATACAAATTTGTTTCATTTCCATCATCCTTTCAGTTTGGTAAGCTAGAAACATAAAGGACAAGTCAACAACTTTTCAGATTAAACTCCAGGCTTCAGTATCCTAGCAGAATTAAGGAAAACTCAGCATCTGACAGTCCTGTTCTTTAGACAATGGGCTTCGTCAAATTCTGTTAGGAGCTCCTCTCACAACAGATCAGTTCCCAGAGATTTCTGTTGGCTTTAAAATACCCAGTCACTAATAGAAATCACAAAACCATAACCATAACCACAAAGGTTTGTTCTCAATATCACAGCTGTTTGGGTGGGGTTGCAGTGACTACTCTCGTGAGTCATCAGAAATATACAGTTTTCAAAACCACCTCACAATTTCCATGTCAGGTTAGCAGCTTCATCAGGCCATAGTGTAATACACAGCTTATAATACTTTCACTCAAAATCTAACATTTGTTTACAAATACCCTAAAGCTCCCATTAATTCAATGACATTCAGTGAGCAAATACGTAGGCATAGGGACAACAAACACACATGCTCACCTGAGTGCATACGTGTAGCCAGTGTTCTCAGGCACACACTGAGGAGGAGTGTACATGTGGAGCCGAGAAAAGTCCATGTTCACGCCCTCAGAACATACTGCAGAGATGGGAAAAAGCAATGCAGGTGTTAAAAGTTTAGAAATACAGAGAAGTCCTGTTTCAGAAGTCCAACTGGATACTCAGTCGGACTAAAATGCCATTATCAAAACTTTAATGAAACACAGACAATAGTAGCAGGGATTTTTAAATTTTTTAAGTGAAGGAGACAAGTTTTTCATAGTTACACATCCAGGAACACTTCTGCTGTATTTAGTTTCCTAAAATGATATGTTCATATGAGGAACAAGGGGAAATACCAGAGGGACTTACAATTAGGAAAACTGGGCACTTTAAAGAATACAGAAAGTGACTCAATCTTTTTGAAACATATTTTTAAATTCCTGAAGGTACCAAAATGTTCTAATTCTTCTGAAATAAGTTTTCACTGTTATGAGCTAAAATAGAATTAATTCTTACTCCACGGTCAAGCACTCCAAACTCTCCTAGCAGCACCTCAGAACCAGAAAATTGCAGGGTGAAGGGTAAATAAGCTATGGCACTGTTTACACTTCGATTTTTCTCCAAAAGAAAATAAAGATTATTTTTAAATTAAAAAGTTTTGATTATATTTTTTTTCAGGTCATCATCTAGATTTCTTTGGAATGACTCAAACTTTCCTCCAGCTAAAAATATTCACACAAACACATGAAACCCTCATAGTAGTAAAGGTGAATCATATCTATTGTAAAAACATATAAAGACCATTCTGGACAAAAAATACTTATGTATAAATGACTGATTTCTATAAACTAAGCCAAAGGATTTCATGTCACACCATTTTCCTCAAGAACAGTTCAGATATTCTTTCTTTTAAAAGCCATAGAAATAAAGACCATTGTTTATATATAAAAACTTAACTGCACCTACTTATTTCAACAAATACCACAAAACTGCAATTTAAAAGCATTCTGACATCGGTCACCTTTTTCTCAGTGCCCTGGCCAACTCTGGGGAAACACTCCACAAGCACCATCACACCTACACCTCTTTCTGCACGTAAAGTCAGCTTGGACCGTTTAACCAGTAACTGTTCATCATTTTTCCCCCGCCTCAACTGGAGCCAGCCCTCAAGTTCAGGTTCAAGGCACCAGGCTGCTCAGATCGAGCTCAGAGTGGGGCCACGCAGCTTCATGTCCCACCTCCCCGAGCACACTGTCCCCCTCAGCAGACCTGCCGTGGAACCTGACCACACCCCCGCAGTGAGTAGTAGCTGCCTGCACTGATGGTTAGCTAACCCACTAGACAACCACAGAAGGGGGACTGGGCAACAATGCTAACATCCCACTGCTGTTCTCATCCTCTAAAGTGGAAACTGACTTTTTAAAATTCCCTTCTAGTTACTCACAGACTAACAAAACCCAGACTTCCTAACTGCATTACCAGCAACCTTTCACTTTGGTACATACTTTGCTATTCCTGCATTACTGACCATTACTAAACCCCATGTTCAAGTTGCTATTTCCTACCAACTTCGCTACAATGGCACTCGGGAAGTGCTCAATGTTGGTTACAGATTGGTGTTGTAAACAACTGAATGGCAGATGCCCTAAAGCCAAGTACTTCATTAATTCAAAGAACCTGATGGCACCTGGAGCCCTGGCAGGGGGAGGTGCCATCTGTGACAGCCAGGACGGCCCAGGATCACTGGCACTGGCCCAACTCAGTGTGGGCAAAGGGGTTAAGGCCCCTGGTGAGGGTGGATAGGGAGGGCTCAGCAAGAACTCCCAGACTTGTTATTTTTTAAATTACTTTACTATGTTCTCACATTTTTATCCTCCTAAAAGAGATACATTGGTTGATTTCTAATGCACAACCAAGCATATTTTGAAAGGCTGTCAGAGTCCCAGGACTAGCTATAACCACCTTTTCCAATCTGGTTCTTCCAATTCATGAGACATGTCATAAAGCTCCACTGTGCCACTTCCAGCCAAGCTTAATGTACACCTCATGCCACAATCTAAAAAGAAATTTTAGTTATTGGTGCTGAAGTAACATTCTATCAAAGAACCTAGCACACCTACTGGCTGTCAGTCCAATTTTTTATTACAGGCATGGTAAGATTACAGCAGAGGAACCTAAAAAAATCCCACAGGTGACAACACTGGGACACAAGCTGAGTGGCAGACACAGTAGCAGGTTTTTCGGAGGAGATACAGACTTAATGAAATGCCCATGACAACACCATGAAAGAGCCCCAGTGCACAGACACGGACTCTAGGAACACCAGGGAGCTTCTGGTGGGTCTAGGAGGACAGAAGGTCACTGCAGAGGGTGACTGTTGTGGTCACAGCTCAGCAGCAGAAGGGGGAGTATGGGATTAGGCCCTTACTTTTCCCTACTCATTCTGATTTTGCTCCTACAATCACATGAATTTACGTATGGTACATGCATAACCCAGCCCCAGCTTTATCAGACCCCTAGCTGCGAAATGTTACTTTGGCCATTACTGACTCCTCCACTGTCCAGACAACCACCTCCTCCCTGGAGAAGAGCAAGAGGGCCATGCAAAGGAGACTCTCTGAAAAAGTTGGATTTGCCTCCACATTTCCAAAGGGAGAGACGATGTGCTTTGCTGCAGAACTCGGTTACACGACAAACACTCAGATGTTAGCTTTGTTTGTGCAATGACATCCCACAGCCTTATCACCGAGATGAAAGATACACTGACTCCTGGCTTAAATAAAAGACAAAGTCCACCGGTAGCTCTGATGGCTCCAACTCTGAGCCCACAGGTCACAACCCCAGCCCCACCCTTCTCTTGGTCCCAACCCGCCACAGCAAATGCAATTCTAACACTTGTTCCACTGGTAACTAAACTTGGTGCTGGTTTCCAACACGCTCCTCCTGGTTTCCATTACACATCACTGCCATTCAGAGTGCATGCTAACACCAGAGCCTGGTTCTCTCCCCACCTCCATGGGCCTCAGCCTGACACTCCAGGGAGGTCTGAATGCATTCAGTCCCAGCAGTACTGAAACAGTGAAAAGATGGGCTGAAGCATTTTCAGCAGCACTGGAAAATCTAGGGAAAAATCCAAAGTCAACACTTCACAAACAGCTGCACTACAAAGAGGGGCCCTGTTTGGGTTTCACTGTCCGGGTTTTTCTACTCTCCAGGCCACTCTCTTCTCTGTAAAGGGATGACCTTGTCACAGGCCACATCCCTCCCAGGTATCCCAGACTGTAGGAGAGAGAGGCTGACTGGAACCAAGCCCTGGCCTCACAGCACAAAGAGTCTGGGGCTCTGTCTGCCCAACCCCTAGGCAGGACTTCCCAACTCTGGTCAGCCCAGTGCACCAGAACAGGTGGAGGAGACGGGAGCGCTATGTTACCAAGGGAACCACTTTCTGCCCCGCAGAGTGCTTCTCTAGGGTGGACAGTTGTCAAATGTGAGCTGCCAGTCCTAATAGAGACTGAGGTGGGCCAGGAATGACAGCTTCAAGTAGAAAGGCAAGCAGCAGCATGTTCAACCAGACCATCTCCCTGTGGCTTGTACTTGTGACTATGAACACACCAGCTAGCAAGCACGGGTAGGTTGTGCAACCACTACAAATCTAGGGAATTAAGTATCTCTAGTTAAGATTCTTAAATTACACTAGGTTACCTTTTAGTGCTCTTCACCTAGTTTCCTTGTACATATAATACTTACATCATACATAGAGATGAAAATATAAAGCACACTTTTTGTTCTTGAATGCCTGGTCAAAAATGGATTTTGGTTTACCAACACATAAAATCTGAATATTTACAATTTAGAGTACCTGTACTCATCTAGTAACCATCTAGAAAACAACCCCAAAAAAATCTCAAAAAAAAAAGTCACAGGGTTGAAAACAACTTCAAGCAAGTGGCAAAAACCAAAGGAAGAGATAAAACTAGAATGGCTCTGGGGGAGGAGCCAAGATGGCAGCATGAGTAGAGTAGCAGAAATCTCCTCCCAAGACCATATACATTTTTGAAAATACAACAAATACAACTATTCCTAAAAGAGAGACCAGAAGACACAGGACAACAGCCAGACTACATCCACACCTGCGAGAACCCAGTGCCTCACGAAGGGGTAAGATACAAGCCACAGGCCAGGGGGACCTGAGCGACACCCCTACCCCAGCTCCCAGCGGGGAGGGAGAGGGAGTCCAGGACTGGTAAACACCCAGCCCTAGCCATCCACACCAGAGCGCAGACACACAGTATGTGGGATGCTGGATACTAGGGAAATGGAACAGTAAAATCTGCACGTGGGTCCCCGCAGCCAGCGCCCCTGGGACAAAGAAAAGCGAGTGCTTTTTGAACATCTTAAAGGGACAGGGACCCCACAGCTGGAAGGAGGCATCCCAGCACACCTAGCCTAGCAGCTGGGAATCCCAGGGAACTCCAGACACACTAACCCCCTGGGCGGGAGCACAGCTCTGAGGCACCTCACGGCAATAAACAGCTTCCCGCCTGTTCCTCCTCTGATGCCTCTCCACCATAGTGGAGCAGCTGCCTGAGGCTGGCCACGCCCACAGCTACTGCAGAGCTTAACTCCACAGCAGCCGGGCAAGAATCAGAGACCCCGTCTGCGCACAGCTGCCCAGCACAAGTCGCTAGGGGTCGCCATTCTCCCAGAAGAGGAAGGCCACAAAACTAGCAAGAAGGGATGTTCTCCCAGCTGACACACATGCCAACTCCCCACAACTACCTCTACCGTCATGACAGGCAGAAGAATTTGATACAGACCAGACTAAACCAGACAACCTCACCTGAGAAGGAATCTGGGGAGATAGACCTAATCAATCTTCATGAAAAAGAATTCAAAATAAAAGTCATAACCATGCTGATGGAGCTGCAGAGAAAAATGCAAGAGCTAACCGACACAGTAGGAGGGACACTACAGAAATAAAACAATCCCTGGAAGGACTTAAAAGCAGAATGGACAAGATGCAAGAAGCCATTAATAGAATAGAAACCAGAGAACAGGAATGCATAGAAGCTGACGCAGAGAGATAAAAGGAGCTCC